TAAATTTAAAAACTGTACTTTTGAGTTAAAATATATATTTATAATTTTAATAAATGACAAATTAAAAAAGCATGAACATTTTTTTGTATCGAACCAAACCAAACCGTGAATTTTGTGTATCGTTGCACTCCTACTGTAAAGATCTAATGAGGCAGCTATGAATGAAAATGTTCCCGTAGTTCCATTTTAATCTTTGTAAACTGTTCTGTAGTGTTTGTGTTCAGTGGTTACCTTTTGTTTTCCAGTGGTTGGATGAAAAATCTGTTTCCTGTTCTCAAGTTTTTATTGAATGCATTTTGTTAAATAAACTTAGTTAAAAAATGTTAAATAAAGAAACAGTTTAATGACAAAAAACCCAAAACTTCAGCACAGCACAGTAAAACGATATCTTACTGTAACCCACGTTTTTCTAATGAAATCTTGATCCAACAGTTTTAATAAAGACACTTGTCTTTAACATTAAACTGCTGGATTATTTATCTCCTTAAAAAAAAAAAATGAGAGCAGCAAACCTCTTTGGTCATTTGGTTTGTGTCCGACAATTTTCCATTGACGGGCGGACTGTGGAGTGGTGGGACAGGCATAGGCTGCATGGCAATAAGCTGGACTTTATTGGGGAGTCTCCTGCTTGCGTCGGTGCCGCGAGATATCCGATCAACATGTTCAAAGATGGAGGCTGAAGACAGCTGCTCGTTTGTATCGTTCATAGGAGGAGGACCTGTGGAATAAAACAAAGGTCATGACATGTTAGCAGCGAGTTCACACCGTATGCTGATTTAAGCTAGGGGACAGAGATTTTACACAAACAGCTAATGCATCAGGATGACTAATGAAACATGTCCGTGTTTCTTTACCACCTCACTATATTCAAAATATCGGTTGTAATAAAAGTGTGGAGTACATTTCTTGAGGGTTACGTGAAAATAAAACATTGATTTCTATTTCCAAAAGCTAAGCTTTTGTTTCAAACAATGGCTTTTTGCCTTTGTTTGTGAAGTTATTGTTTCCATGCTGTGACTGACAGCTCAGCACAGAAGTGATGGATGGTGAGAACTGTGCACAAAACTACCAAAGAACTAGCAGACAACACACAGACAGCTGCTGGAGGTCAAGCCTGAGGTCTACAGAGACAGAGACAGAAAGTGGCAAGCTCTTACCAATTCTATTCTTGCCTGCAAACCACAAAAGAAAGGAAAGAGAGTCTTACTGGGGTGAAAGAGATCAAGTAAGAACAAAAATCAAAGTGGTTGCTGCATACTGACAACAATATTTTTTTTAAAAAACAGAGGTGTAGCTGACACGGATGCATGAGAGAAAAGAAACATAACCAGGAAAGATCAAAAGAAAGGAAAAGGCAAGTTTCCATAGGTGATGCATTCATTTCTTCAGATCTTTTATTCAGTAGCTGGAAAAAAGCAAAGAAGATGTTGCTCTACATAAGAAGAAAACAGCAAAAAAGATTATTTAATATTGAATGTGTTTCATCTGTAATCTAATTAAACGTTTCATCCACCAGGTATCCACCGACCCAATTAAGCTAATACTACTGTTTGGTTGTTTTATTTACATTCTAAATGAACCAAGTCTCATACGTGCATCTGGGATTTTCTCTGGATATAACAATTTGGCAGAAATTAAATTAAAAAAGGGGGTTGCTGTCAGCCTAACCCTAACCTTAACCAGGTTAAAAGCACCAGCAGAGCACAGTACAGTATCAGCACAGACTTATCAATAACAAAACACAGACTGTTCCTCTGTGTGTGAGTCAGGCTGCAGTCTGCGCCCGACTGGCTCGAGGTCCAGCACGTAATCTCTTGAGTGGTGCTGCAGGCTTGAATCTATCAAAAAGCTGTCAGATAAACTAACTTTAGCATTTTTTTTCTTTTTCCTCAATTCCTCTCCGTCTCGTCTTATTTTGACCACTGAATAGAAATCCCTACCAGCTGCTTCTTTTACTTTCACTCTGCTTTATGTCCTTGCCTGGGTTCTCTTCACGTCTCCTCTGCTTTTTCTTTTCTTCCTCCCTTTACAATCTCAAACTGGCCTCCTTGTCAATCAAGACATGCTAGCTGTGGTTGCTCTCTCTTTATCTATTTATGTCAGCCAAGTCCCTTCGTTTTCTTCCTCCCCCTCATATTTGCTCTCTGTGTTTGGAGGAGCGAGTCGAGTGTTGCCAGGGCCACTTACTGTTTAAAACATTGATGGGGACCTTACGGGTCTGCTTGCTGTCGCTGGGCGTGGCCTGGGCTCTCAGGTTCTCCTCGGTTGATTCCCGCTCACTGGAATGGTCGCTTAACACAGAGTCGCCATCTGATGAGGAGATCCTGCCCAGGAAAGACACACAAACACAGCCTTAGATGAATAATTGAAGCACAAGAGCGCACGAACATGCTGCAATGTCATGCATAATCAAAAACTGCGCTCTTGCAGAAAGGTAAAAGCTGGGAGGAGACTTCTAAGAAATAATAACGTTGGTTATAACTTGTTGAAATAAACGCCTTAAAGAATTTCCGCTGCCAGAATGATTACATTCATTAAATAATTTGTCTTGGATGGCTGTCAAGCAAGGAGGAACAACCAGCGCCAACTGCCCAATAAAAGGGCTGATGTAATGGAAGACATTTGTAACAGGAGTTAATAAACGTATCCAGCAATAACTGCTGTACTTGTTTTGGTGTCACATGTCTAATAACCAGAAGAGTGAGTGTTCTGGGAAAGGCTGGTAATGTTGCACAAACTCATTTAAGCCGTCGATATCAAAACTGAAAATTCTTCAGTTAAGCTTTGATATTTCAAATGTAGAAAAATAGGGCCGAGGCAAAAATATTAAAAGAAGTCAAATGAATATTTATAATGCACGTCAGCTTAACCTCTAAGTTACACAGACCTGTCTGAGGGAGCAAAAAAAGCTTCCTTCTTCTTTGGTGCATAAATTAATCAGAAGATCTGTCAAAAGCTTTTTGTCTGGTTGGCTAACTGCCCCAACTGAAGGAGGCAGAAAGTCACCTCAGCTGGGAAAACAAGCTGTAATACAATCTGTTGGAGCTATTTGTTCTTATTTTTTCTTATTTTGAAATTGGTTAAAGTTTGTTGTTAGTTTACTTATATTTTGGGGTTTATTTACAAGTTTATTTGTCGGTTAATATTTTGTTTCAATGTTTGTTTGATGTTACTTTGTTAAATTAGTCAGGAAGAGCTGCAGGGCCATTTTTCTTTCTGTAAATAAAGAGACTGGTATAGGACCAGCATGCACTGGGGTGGGCCTATGGTTTTTTACCAGAGCAGGAGAAGCAGCAGGAAGTTTTTCCTTTCCTGTCACCTTTCTCACTCACTATGTGTTAACAGACTTCTCTGCATTGAATCATATCTGTTATTAATCTCTGTCTCTCTTCCACAGCATGTCTTTATCCTGTCTTCCTTCTCTCACCCCAATCAATCGCAGCAGATGGCCCCGCCCCTCCCTGAGCCTGGTTCTGCTGGAGGTTTCTTCCTGTTAAAAGGGAGTTTTTCCTTCCCACTGTTGCCAAAGTGCTGCTCATAGGGGGTCATATGATTGTTGGGTTTTTCTCTGTATCTATGAAGCGCCTTGAGGCGACTTTTGTTGTGATTTGGCGCTATATAAATAAAATTGAATTGAATTGAATTGAAGTAACAAAAAAATGGATCTTGTTATTGCCAAACTGGATAAAATAAACCCGTGTCTCTAAAATATGCTGGCTGTAATCATGAACTTCACTAGAACTGCTTATCCTCTCTTTATTTGCTTTAGGTAATGTAAGCCTTTATGTTTTGTCACTTTCCTGCTCTGTGAGCAGCACTGACCTTCCTCTCCTTCGACCGCCGCGCGACGCCTTTGTGGAGGAAGCGGACGTTTTGGAAATGGGAGTGGGGATCTCCCCGTTCTCAGATGGACTGAGGCCATCTTTAATGGATACTTGGACGGGCCCGAGGCCAGACGGGACAGGCTCCTGGATCACCATGACATCATCCTTGCTCTGCTGGCCAAGGTGCAGCTTGGCAAAGTCGAAGCCTTTAACGGTGGGAGCCTGCAGCTAAAGAAATGGGAAGAGAAGGAACGAGTGGATAAACATGAGCCGAACGCTGCACCAGCAAGACAGCGAGGGAGCGAGCACGACTTTCACTTAAGTGTTTACTTATTGACAAGCATTCATGAGCATTCACCATCTCGTTGTGACATTAACCTTTACTTTTTAAAGCCTCTGACTTTACACCAAATGCCAATATGAGAGTAATACTGCAAAAAACAGGGAACTGAAGGCTCAGAAAGTGATAGTCCAATGTAGTGCAATGAAATTCCATTAAAATTCCAGATTTGTAAATGAGGGAAATGACAACCAGAACGATGCCACATTCGAGACATAATTAGGCTAAATGACTGATGAATGGATGCCCAGTGGGAGACTCGCACAGTCAGACAAGAATGAATAAAGAGAAAGTCTCTGAGAAGAGCGAGAGACTTGGGTAAACATTGACTTGGTGTCTCTGTTTTTGGGGTGGTGGGGGATGGAGGCTGGAGCAGTGAGTGTAAAGCCCTCGGGACTTCCCGTCAGCAGAAGAGTAAACAGAAGATGTCAGATCTGAGTGTGTTTGCAAGCAGTTTGTGAAACTCGACACTGAAATGTGGCATCAAGCAAAGAGTGACGTGATGTGTTACTCCTAATTCTCTGCTTTACGTGTGCGCACACTGAGTTTACTGAGGCAAAATG